ATTCAGTGTCAAAGGAAAAACAAACATCACAACATAAATATATTACCATTGAATGATTTAATATAATTTATTTTTCTTTTTTAATATAAATAAAAATAATATAAATAATAATAAAATATCTATAATATAAATTAAAAATAAAAGTGCATACCAATTACAAGTGAAAAATTTGTAGATAAAATTAAAATAAAGAAAGAACGAAGGAAAAGAAGAAACACACCAACATAAATATATGACTATATTTATAATAATTTAATATTCAATTTAATATTGATTTTTTTACTATTAAATAAAGTAAAATAATTTCTAAATAAAAAGTACATAAGAATGACTAACTAAATAAATATTAAGAATAATTTCTAACAATGTAAAAAAGGAGACAAACAAATCAATGGAGCAATTACTAAAATAAATAGGTAAATAAATAACTAAATAAATAAATAACCCTGTCTAAATACATTTAAAACATTTTTTTTTTTTAATATTACTAAATGAACTGAGAAAGAAAGAAAGAAAGAAAGAAAGAAAGAAAAAAGAAGGAAATAAAAAGAAAAAAAAAGATTAATAATACTTTCATTATTCACGTTGTATTTCATTTTTACAAATAAATGCATATAAAATAAGAATAAATCTAAATAAAATTAAATAACTAATTAAAGACCACTTTCTAAAGTGATAAATGTGTAAATAAATGAATGAATGAATGAATAAACATGAATAATTGTTATTATAATAGTAAGTACATTTAACATTTGTAACAAGGACACCTTAAAATAAAGTGTTACCGAAATATCTTTTGATAGTTAATATAATATTCTAATGTTGCACGTTTCAAAAAGTAATACTAACTGGGAAGTGGAGACTTGTTCAACACTGAAATGTACGGTGGCCGAGAGAGCTCAACGCGCTGCAACTTAAGAAAACACATGCAAATTGAAAAAACACCAGCAAATTAAGAAAACATCTTCATCAGTTTGACAACACACGCGCTGCAAATCCTCACAACACATGCAAACGAAGAAACGCGCTGCAAATCCTCACAACACATGCAAACGAAGAAACGCGCTGCAAATCCTCACAACACATGCAAACGAAGAAACGCGCTGCAAATCCTCACAACACATGCAAACGAAGAAACGCGCTGCAAATCCTCACAACACATGCAAACGAAGAAACGCGCTGCAAACTGGTGTTTTTTCAATTTGCATGTGTTTTCTTAAGTTGCAGCGGGTTGAGCTCTCTCGGCCACCGTAGAAATGGATAAACATGACATGAAAAAAAACAAAAAACTATTAATAATTAAGTAAAAAGTATGGATCGCCTGTGTTTGAACTCTTAGTATGAAATGGTGGCAAATTCTCTGAAGCTGACGAAGAGCCGCTGTCTTCCGGAAACAGTATAATGCGGCGCTGGAAGCTGCAGTGGGAAGGATTCAGCAGGTGACTTGTATGTTGGCCTCTGTGCTAAATGGCTTTCATGATGGATAGCATCAACATGCCCCAATTATGAGATTTATTTTAGTTGTCGTGAGAAATCACCTTCTGTCATCTAAGAATTCCTTTAATGGTGAGTCATGCAATGTGCAGCTTTAATGGAGGATGAACACTAAAAGAGAAAGCTGAAGCAGGAAGAGATGTGAAATATAATCCACGAAGACATTTGGCTTACATTAATCACAGATCCTAATTACATTCAATTTGATTATACGGGTTATTCAGTAATGAACTCTATGTGTTTTTGTAAATCACATTCCTGGATATTTTTCTTTTTTAATTGGCAGTGTTGAATATGTGTATATATATATATATACATATAACTACAGAACATGTTTCTTAGTATAAACAGTGTATATACCAGCTAACAGGGAACGTTCTTAAAACTTTCTGGCAATGTTTTCTCAAAGCTATGAACAAATGTTCTCCAGAAACGTTAATAGAATGCTTTTTCAAAGTTATTTGGTCTTTAATAACGTTCTCAAAATATTTTAGGTGGATGTTCGTCTAACATTTTTTAAATGTTACTACTTGTTTCAGAATATTTAGAGAACATAAAAGTAACATTCCCATAATGTTTGCAAAATTATAAAACTGAATGTTTGCATAACTAGGATTTTTTTTTTACATTTTAAAACTGGATGTTTTAAACATTCATATGTAACATACGTAAGTAACATTCTTAGAACATATTTCTGTTAACTGTGGTATTAGGCAATGCTAATTTAATATAACAAAACTACTAAAATTATGATCATGATTGTTTGTTTTAATTTTTAGCATAGAATGCACATTGCAAAATTTATGAAATCTTAATTTATGAAACCTAATTAATAATTGGGAATTAAGGCCAACACAAAGGCTGGGTTAAGTTAAAAACAAACAAACAAAATTGAATTGAATAAATCTGATTGAAAAACAAATTGAATAATAAATGGACAGTTAAATTAAGTCTCCACCCCTTAACGGTCACCCCCATTTGTTAAAATAGGCATGCAGGTGCACTATCCAAACTTAAATTGTTGTAATTTATGAACACTTTGGAATACAGACGTAAGGTTGGTCTCTTTTTAAAGAAGAAAATCAGCAAATTATGGCAAAAGTGGAATTTCTTCAAAGCATTTAAGTATCAAAAAGTTATAGTAGTTTAAATTTACTGTAAAGAAAATGCACTATATTCATTTTATTTTATTTTATATATAATAAATATTTTACATATCAGGTTTTACTCTAAAATTGGTATAAAATTATAGCCTTATGTCTAAATAAGTTATGTTCCAAATAATCTTTGGCTTCTAAGCTTTCAAATGATATATGATTATATATACATGATGATTACTAAAATATTTGATAGAAAAAAAAGACAACAAAAAAAAAAGAGTGCCAAACGTCCCACAGGTGGGACGATGACAGTTAAGGGGTTAATAGTATATATATATTTTTTTTTATAAAACTTACAATAACTAAATAAATTGCCAAAAATATGACTTTATGCATCTTCAAGTATTTATATTTAAAATAAAAATTAAAAAGTAAATAATTGTATGCTTTAGGAATTGTTTTAAAAATGTTTAAAATAAAACTAAACTTGAAATATTAATATTTGAAAATTACTGCTTAAGTTTAAACAATAAAATATTATTAAGAAATTAATTTGTAAGTTATTTTTATTGCAAAAAAAAAAAGCATTAAAAGAGTGTTTACAAGTAGTTTTCTTAAATAAATCAAATGGCTTATTTGCCAATCAAGTTATAAAAAAAAAATAATTGGACAGTGATCACATGGAAGCAACAAATGGTCATTTAAAGGGGTCATATTATGCTGCTAAAAAGAACATTATTTTGTGTATTTGGTGTAATGAAATGTGTTTATGCGGTACAATTGAAATCGCATCATATGACCCCTTTAAATCACAATGGCTGAAAGCAAATGTTGCTGGAGATAGATATAAAAATATGAAAACTTTATAACACACTATTACTTAATGCCATGTTTAAAAAAAATAATAAGAATAAGAACAGAGAGAAACATCCAGATGCATCACTTCACCTTCAGCTTGATGTGACCCAGCCAGAGAGACCATCAAGCCAAAAATGCAGTCACTAGACCTTGAGCTATTTTCTGTACAACATCTCAACTTCCTTTCATTAATATCAAGGCATGGTGTGCACCTCTAAGAAAACACCTGTCAACGTTTATTACCGCAATCCTCCCCTCACCACAACATGCCTGACACCTCCATGAGCTGGACGTTCTGCTAGTCAAACTGCTTGTCAGTGTGTAATTATGCACACTTATGCTGAATATGTGGGCCACTGTGGCCCCTCGTTTCCCCTTGGAAATGTGGGTAGCAGGAGTGCAGCTGTCAAGTAGTGTGTTGAGGGTTAATTGGCTTTAATTAGGAGAGTTGTTTTTGCCTGTTTAAGCACCAGCGGGGGAGGAGGGGGGTGGTTGTGGAGATGTGGATGTGTCTGAATGTGTTTATATGAGAAATCATGTATAATTGTGTGCTAATGCGCTGTTGGTTGGAATGAGAGCATGCCAAAACCACTTCAGCATATAATTGGCATATTTATTTTACATATCTATCAAAGTTCAGAACCACCTCGCAATGACCTCAAACTGCAACTGCAACACAATCCTTCCAAAATAAGTCTATGCAGTAAAATATATTTTTAAAATAAAGGATCTTTATTGGTACTGATGGTTGAAAGAAGACGTTTCATTGCACAAAATATTCTTTATAGTGGAAAACAATGGTTCTTTGAAGAACTATTCACTGAAAGGTTCTTTGGAGAACCTAAAATGGTTCTTCTACACGCTTAAAAATAAAGGTCCTTTATCAGCATTGATGCTTTCATGAAGAAACTTTAACATCCAATCTTTGCGTTGCACAAAAGGTTCTTTATAGTGGAAAAATATTCTTCTTCACACTAAGAAAAACCTGTTCACTAAAGGTTCTTTGGGGAACCCAAAAGAATTCCCCTTTGGGGAAGTCGTGGCCTAATGGTTAGAGAGTTGGACTCATAACCCAAAGGTTGTGGGTTCGAGTCTCGTACCGGCAGGGATTGTAGGTGGGGGGAGTGAATGTACAGTGCTCTCTCCCACCTTCAATACCACAACTGAAGTGCCCTTGAGCAAGGCACCAAACCCCCAACTGCTACCCGGGTGCCGCAGCATAAATGGCTGCCCACTGCTCCGGGTGTGTGTTCACGGTGTGTGTGTGTTCACTGCTGTGTGTGTGCATTTTGGATGGGTTAAATGCAGAGCACTAATTCCGAGTATGGGTCACCATACTTGGCCACATGTCACGTCACTTCAAAGTGGTTCATCTTTAGTAACACTGTGAAAACCCCCTTTTGGAACCTTCATTTTTGAGAGTGCAGCTTATTTTTAATTAAGGAGGTCATGTGATACCAGAATATTTGGTTGTTCAGAACAACTAAACAGACATCTACATTTGAAAACATCACATTTTAGTAAAACCTAACTGTTGTTTTCTGGCAGAACTGAGGTCGAGGAACAGCTCTGCTGTGTTCTGGGACGGTGGAGAGAGGGGAGCGTACCAGGCCCTGCTGCTGGATGAGGACCGCGGAAGGCTGCTGGTCGGAGGCCGAGACCACATCTACATGCTAAACTTTGACAGCTTCACCCAACCGGCACGCAAGGTCAGTGCGCACAACTACCACCATCTGACAGCACATGATGTAATTTACCGATCGCGAGGATAAGGGTCACTAAAGTGAAAACAGACCATGACTACAATGTCTTACTGTTCACATCAATCTGTACATCTGTAATGCTGTTTTCATGGCCTCTCTGAAGTTACAGGAAACTGCTCCACCACATACAGTACATCTGTTGATTAGCACAGAAACATTTAATTGACTTGTCCCTCAGTCTGTAAAAGTATATGAAAAAATGTATATACTGTAGTACACTTATTCTGTTACTTACAAAATGTAAACTATATTATCACAAAGCTCTAACCTGCTAAATGTGATTATAAGGCATGAAGATATTAAGATATTTGAACATTAACATTACAATTTTCTGTAATGTGTATTGTGAAAAGTGCTATTCAAATAAAATTGACTAGCAACACGGTAAATCACAAAGTTGGGCATTAACACCATTATTCACTTGTGTTACGTTAGTATATTAGCTGAGATTGGTACAAATTGGTGCAAATGTTTAAGCAAATTACATCCAATCATTCAACTCAACCAAAATTTAAGCTAGGTTTTCATTGTATATAGTAGTAAGTAGTAGTAACTTTATTTATCCCCTTAGGGAAATTTTGTTTCAGTGTCTTGTTTCAATATGCGGTTCTCACAAACGACAGTACAACATAAATTTCACAATAGACACAATGCAAATGTAACATCAATTAATCAAGACGTGCTAATTACTGAATGAGACCTGCTCATTACATAAAAAAAAACCCCTCTTTCTTTCCTATCTTTCATTTAAGAACTTCACTGCCTGTGTTATAAAAGATTTTTTCCCTCTATTTTTAAAAAAACACCGGTATCCTGAATCTTCTACCCGAAGGCAAAAGCTCAAACTCATTATACAGTGGGTGCCTATCATCAGATATAATTTTCATAGCTTTACCAAGACATCTAGTCTGATAAATTTGTTGTAAACCCATCACAGGGATACCAAGTAATTTACTCGCAGTACTTATAATTTTCCTGAACATACTCTTTTGTTCCACCGTAACATTCCCGAACCAGCAAGTAATACAAAAAGTCAGTACACTTTCAATAAAAGAGTTATAAAACACCTTTAACAATGGAGGGCTTACGCTAAATGACACCATCTTTCTAAGGAAATATAGTCTTTGCTGGCCCTTTTTGTTCACAGCGTCAGTCCATTTATCCCACCTCAGTTTGTGATCTAAAACAACTCCAAGGTATTTATACTCTTCTACCCTCTGAATCTGGTCCCCTTTAATAATGGTCGCACTCGTTGAGGACTCTTTCCTAAAATCAATACACATTTCTTTAGTTTTTGAAACATTTAACTTGAGATTTGATACATCACACCAAGAAACAAATTCAGTTAAAAAGGGTCCATGACTGTCCTCATCCCCTCTAAGGAGACTAACCAATGCAGTATCATCTGCAAATTTGATTAAATATCTCGCTGGGCAAGTACTCCTACAATGATTTGTGTACATAATAAACAGTAAGGGTGAGAGGACACAACCTTGTGGGGAACCAATATTCGTGATTTGTTTGTCAGACAATGAGGTACCCACACACACTCGTTGAACTCTGTTACTTAAAAAATCCTGCAACCACAAAATCACTCCTCCATCTAGAGAGAAATCTACAGATAATCTTTCGACCAGAACAGATGGCACAATATTATTAAAAGCAGAAGAAAAACCGAGGTGATGGTGTCAACTAGTAGTAGTAACTTTATTTATCCCCTTGGGGAAATTTTGTTTCAGTGTCTTGTTTCAATATGCGGTTCTCACAAACGACAGTACAACATAAATTTCACAATAGACACAATGCAAATGTAACATCAATTAATCAAGACGTGCTAATTACTGAATGAGACCTGCTCATTACATAAAAAAAAACCCCTCTTTCTTTCCTATCTTTCATTTAAGAACTTCACTGCCTGTGTTATAAAAGATTTTTTCCCTCTATTTTTTAAAAAACACCGGTATCCTGAATCTTCTACCCGAAGGCAAAAGCTCAAACTCATTATACAGTGGGTGCCTATCATCAGATATAATTTTCATAGCTTTACCAAGACATCTAGTCTGATAAATTTGTTGTAAACCCATCACAGGGATACCAAGTAATTTACTCGCAGTACTTATAATTTTCCTGAACATACTCTTTTGTTCCCGCTATGCTACGATATGCTACCGTAACCACACTTTTTGTTCGTTTTTACAAACTGAGTGACAAGATGAAACTATTTTCTGAGGTAATCGACAGCATGACGGTTTCATAACATACCATAATCTACTCAAGTTTAACATACACTGCATGAACACAAACTCTTTTAGCTACATACTTACGTTCGACTTGAACCACAATGTGTGCTGATAGCCTCGCTGCTAACATTAGAATATGATATTTTTCTACAGTTTTCAGGACAACTGTCACTACTGTAAAGCAAGTTTGAGGATATTCTTACTGAGCTAAAGCTAGTTGACTTTATAGCTAGCTTCTAATAGCACACAGTTTAATAATGCAGATATTTGAAAGTGCCTCTATCGCCCCCTTCAGTATGGAGGTTTGTTTGCAAAGTTGGTACAGCAGGATTGTGAGCTTACTTGCATACATTTGCATACTTCTAGCCTAAATTCTTCACACCAATCATCAGCACTAAATAAACATTACATTTGGTTCAATATTAATTGATTCTGTCTTTTATAATAGTGAAATACCAAAAGATGCCTGTAAGAAATTATGAGGTCAAACGTAAGGTCATGGCACAGATACGTGATCTTCATAAGAACTAAGGCATGCCAGGTTCTCCATCTCCCAATTATATAATCATGTACAGTGTGCTGATTGCCAGCTAATGATGAGGTAAATACCTGCACATTATTTCCACATGGAAATGATTACAATTTGAGAGGCATTTAGATTGTTGAGTAATGATGGTGAAACGGCAAGGAGGGTCTGAACTAATCAACTCAGTACTCATAGCTCAGGATTATACAAGAACATGTATGTGATGTACAAATTTTAAAAAGTAATACATTAAAAAGTGGTGTACGGAAAATTGTAATAATCATTTATTTTTTTAAGTAATAACTATTTTCAAATATGAAATCATTTTTAAATCTAATATTATTTTTTAAATATCATTTTAAAAATATTTTATTTAATAAATGTGTGTGTACATATATATACACGCATGCATGTATACATACATACATACATAATTTTTGAATGCTTGAAACATTTTGCTTTATTATGCATTATTTTCTGTTTATTATGCATTATCTCTTTTGTTTTTAGATTCACTGGCCAGCTGGACAGGAACACACTGAACGCTGCAAATATGCAGGAAAGAATCTATCGGTAAGTAACTTTAAAAGGGCACAAAGGAAAAAAAAATAAAGCTTTCAAGGTGCTATTTTAATAAAGTGCTCTCACAGACTGAGATAAGAATAAAAGCTGAAAAGTCATATTTATAGCGCTATGCGGGGAATATTTCAAGCTGGAAAGTCTTAAGGGAGTGTAAGTCTGAAGTTTTAACATCAGTCCCCCCTGCAATAACAGGCAAAAATCAGTAGGTGCATTACTGTGTGATTTAAAATGCTTCATATTCACCTATCCTCACCATAACTCTTTCAAATTGTGCTTTTAATCAAATACCACATGTATCTCTCAGATGGACTGTGCCAATTACGTGAGACTCCTACAGCCCTTAAATAAAACACATGTCTATGTATGTGGAACCGGTGCGTTCCACCCACAGTGCACCTACATTGACCTGGGACACAATCTTGAGGTAAGCAGAATTTCTGTTTTTTGGCCAACAACCAGAGTGAAAGGCAGTAAACACTTTTAAGGGTCATTTAAGCTTGTTATTTTGTGCAAATGAGGAGTTGCAGGGTGAATTGGACCCTACGGAAACCTCTGAGAGTTATTGACCGTAGAGCTGAACTAATAATGAGGGTAATGGTGCAAAGAGAGTGACAGTCTTGTTTTGGTATGCCAGAAACCCACTTTCCAGCTCCTTAGCCAAGTTGGAGAATCCGGGAGAGGAAAATGTCCCTTCAGTCCAGAGGAGCCCTTTACCGCCCGACTGACAGGTGAGTTTCTTGTGCACACTGTCCTCAAAAACAACCCATCAGCACTTTGAAGACAGAATATACTGAGGAAACATGCACAAAAATGGCCCATTTGTTAGACATACTCCCATGTGAATCATTGATAATTGGATCCATATAACTCCTGGCCAGATGTTAGTTTGCATGGGGAAATTTGGAAGTTCCCCCAGTAAACAGGTTTGTCACCCGTATTTGTCTTCACTGAACGCTTATTATGCAGTAATTCGACTTAAAAAGTTACTTAAAAAAATTGCCCAGTTGCTGTTACTGTGTGGCCAGGAAATAAAACCCAGCTGCAAAATTGATATTATATTTAGTTTTTTTTTTGTTTTGTATTTTGAAAGCATGTATAGCCCAGAAGACCATAATGCATAAACCATATGCTACCTAATTAAAGGCTATTACTGCAACCGTAGACCTTTTTGACCATTTAATGATGCCCTTGGAATAATCAAAATTTTCTTTTCACACAAACTGCTGTAAAACAGAGTATTTTGACAAAAGATCTGGAGTCAAGAGGGTAGAATCATTAAAAATGAGCTATGTATCATAAAAAATCATTTGTCATTTTAAGTCGTTCTGGATGTGATTTTCATTAAACTGCTATTAATGCTCACCTTAGATGGGGACCTGTATGCCGGGACATCCGTAGACTTCATGGGAACAAACGCTGCCATTTTTCGCACATCTGTGCACAGCAGCAATCAACAGTATATCCGCACTGAAGCTTACCAGGACCACTGGCTAAACGGTGAGAAGTGAAATAAAAAGTTAATTGTTTTTATTGTGTGTGCAAGGATAGCATGGCCTTAGTTCCCAGTCTGGGCTAATATGGGTGCAAGAAAATATCTGTATTGCTAGAAAGTTTAATTGATAAATAAACTTTCATATTGCTCATAGGTTAAAACACCAAATTATTGTTGATATCACAATTATAAACACTGTTTGGCCCAATTTAACTAGGAAGCAAGAAGGTCTAACATACCTGGAGACAGCTTATCAGTTTAGATTTCCATTTATCTTAATGGCAGTTCCTCAGGATGCAGCTCAAAAATATGTAACCTGAATGCTGACACACATGGACCTGCTTAGTACTAAATCAGTAAAAAAAAAAACTTGACAATTAAAGTTTTAAAATCATATGTGACATAACCAAAGCTGTAAAGGGTCAAATTAAACATTTGGAGTTCTATATTTCGTCAATTAGCTTGCAAGCTAACAGTTAGCTGACTTCCAAAGCATACTGTTAGTTTAATATATTTTTAACTTATTTATTGGATTGTTAGCTTAGCATACTGTTATCAGTTAGTCTCTTAGCTTAGCAAACAGTCAACATATTAGTCTGTTCGATTAGCATACAGCTACCCAAATCAATGCCAGCTTAGATATCACTGTTACAAAAGGAAAACAAAAAATGTTGATCATCTAAAAGAAATCACAACTAAAAGGATTCATTTTTGAACAGGCTTTACAAACAGTTACCTCTTGGGGTCCAAGAGGAGAGTTTTTTAAGCCAGTCACCTGTGATGTTTATGTCATGTGACTGATCACTCTATATTTGAACTCCTCGCAGCAGACAGGGAGAAGTCAAGAAGGCAAAAAATGTGTCATGTTTTAAGGATGAATAATGTTTAAGGATGTATAATTTTTGTTAAAATACAAAGCAAAAATACTGGTTTAGAAAATTTTGGCAGTGGATCAGAAGGTGGTTCATGGTCTGAAACATTTGGAAACCACTGTTTTGGGGTTACCGGTGCTGCCTAATTAACTTTTGTGACTTACTCTAACCTCACTCCGATGCCAATTTCTTTTCACAGAGCCAGAGTTTGTGGGATCGTATTCTATCCCTGACACACACAGCTTGGACGATGACAAAGTCTACTTCTTCTTTAAAGAGACCGCCGTAGAGTCCAACCAGCTAGACAAGCATATCTACATTCGTGTGGCTCGTGTCTGCAAGGTAAGCGCCAAGTCCAATGCCGTAATGAGCCAATAAAAACGTGAAATGTATTCAAAAGACCTTTGTTTGTTATGAAGAATCAATGAGTCTTTTGTAGACATTAATGAATAGACATGTAAGCCTCGGTAGCATCTGTTGCACAGTAGTAGAAGCATTGTGTATCTAATAATGGATGAATGAGGGGTTTGTTTCAGAGTAATTAAACACTAATCTAGTAACAAATCAAGCAAACTTGGTTTTCAGTTCAGGCTTTTCATGTCAGAGCATTCTTAAGATGCTTTATATATTGAATTTATTTTATAAAGGCTGGAATACACTACACAACTTTTGCACAGATTTTTGCCACAATTTGCAGTCTGGTGGAGATGGAAGAGTTGCCAAAAGTCAGAGCCAGTCTGCTGATTTTGGACAGTCAGAGTTGACAGATTTAAAAGAAAATTGCATAGTGTATGATGGGAACAGACTCAGAATTTTTTACTTCAGACTATGATTCCATCAAGTGAGAAGATATCAGAAATACTCAATATTTTAAGTCAATTTTAGAACACACATTGTTGTCATTTGTCATGCCTCTTCTAGAAACGAGGCACAATGTTTCTGCATTAGTTTGTTGTGTTTGGAAGAATTTAAAAGTCTGGTAGTGTGTTTTTCCTCTGTAACCATTTACAAAAATCAACAAGTGTATGGTGCCTAGTGTTTCAAAATCTGTTCAGATTTTAAAAGTCCTGTAGTGTACAGCTTTACATGTTCTTTGTGTTCATTAGAATGACATAGGAGGGAAACGAAGCTTAATTAATCGCTGGAGCACCTTCCTGAAAGCCAGGCTGGTGTGCTCAGTACCAGGACCTGGAGGCATGGACTCACACTTTGACGAGCTGGGTATGTTCACACACTCTAATTATACTTTGTCAACATGAACTCAAAAACTCATCCTAGATAGATTTTTTTATTCAACAATCTTGTTCCTTTCTGCTCATTTTTTATTTTTAGAGGACATATTTATCTTGGAGACCAAAGATTCACAGAATCCAGTCATCTACGGTGTCTTCTCCACTTCCAGGTATGTTTATTACCTGAAAAGTCTGATTTATGAGTCATTCTTTGGGTCACCACCCCATAATCCTCTTAACGTTTTAGAAACACATTCCTTTCAATGTTATATTTGTTTATCTCAATTCTTGAATTATCATTGGCTCCATCCAAATCAACCAATCGGTCACACTCATTCCCATTTAACTAACTCTTCAGGTTCTTAGACCTCCCTTGTTCGTTCCAACAACCTAAATCTGTTGATCTCAGTTTATCTTGTGAACTAACATCAGTATCAAAACTCCCGTAAAATCACCAATCTGGTCACAGGATGCTCTCCTCCCCACCCAATCCATTCAGAACAATCCGTCCCGATGCTCCCACCCGAGGAATGGATAGCTTGAGGCGAAACGGGAGGGTGAAAGGTCACCAAGCTTGAGGAACTCTGTAATTCTAACCTGGCATCAGACTAATACATGTTTCCTTTTCAAAGCTCTGTCTTCAGAGGTTCAGCCGTTTGCATCTATTCCATGGCCTCCATCCGAGCCGCCTTCAACGGGCCGTTTGCGCATAAGGAGAGCCCTGATCATCGCTGGATGGAGTACAAGGGGAAGATCCCTTATCCACGGCCGGGGACGGTAAGTTCTCAACTGGAAGGAATTATGTTTGGTAGAGTAGAGAAGATGATTTGTCATATTGAGTTGCTTTCTTTTGGCAACTTGAAGGACTTCAGACTGTTCAAACTGTAATATTGGTGTTGTGAGCCAGATTTGAGATCTACGGTTGGTTCTGGATTGCAGATATGTTGGGACAGCTTGTAAACCATGTGACCAGTTACTCCATGCACTAGCTGCACTACCTCAAGGGGGTTGTAAAAATGTCAGCAGGCACTCTAGGGGTCACGCGTCAATGTGGTTAATGAAGTGGCTGGAGTGTGGACTCCAGTGAGGTCACCAATAGGAAGTCAATTATCAGGGCTGTGAGGTCTGCTCCATTAGTTGCTAAAGTCATAACCACGGATTGACCACAACTCTGAGGTGACCGTTAAACTAAACCCTTTCAAATTCTGGGGTTTAGTGACTAGAACAGGGGTGTCCAGACCTGTTCCTGGAGGTCCACTGTCCTGCAAAGTTTAACTCCAACCCTAATTAAACACACCTGGATCAGCTAATAAAGGTCTTCAGGATTACGAGAAACTTCCAGGCAAGTGTGTGAAGGCTGGTTGGAGCTAAACTCTGCAGGATGTTCTTGGCCCTTCAAGAAGAGGTTTGGACACCCTTGGACTAGAAAGTGCAATTAAGATCATGAACATATTTTAGACTCATTTCACACATAGTAGTAAAATGGATCTACTTGTGTTTATTTCATTCGGACACCATTTTCTTACCTTTACGCGCATCGTTTGAAGGTCACCATGTTTAGTGGTTTTACAAGGTAAAAGCTGGTAAAACCTTACCTTTGCACAGGCAAGGTTAGGAAGCAAGTTTATCATACTAGATTGTGTTAACGTGTAACATTCCCTACTTTGGGGGGACTCGCTAAACCGAATTGTTCATGACAACAGAAGATTCCTTCAAAACTGCATTTCTCAATATGGATAAACAAGAATTATGATGTTCACTGCACTATGATCTCGAACAGTGGCCAAAATCCACATCTGCACAAATGTTTTTGACTATTTTTACCTTAGTCTGGGACTGTTAAGCCAAATTCAGTCCCTACAGGGTTCCAGAATATAAGTTTAACTAAAGCTCCTATATCCCTTCAGTGTCCGAGTGAAACCTATGACCCTTTGCACAAGTCCACCCGAGATTTCCCAGACGATGTTGTGAGCTTCATGAGGACCCATCAGCTGATGTGGGAGCCAGTGATGCCCATTCATAGGCGCCCCGTCTTTACTTGGATCAACGCCCCCTACAGGCTGAAGAAGCTCGTGGTTGATAGGGTTGATGCAGAGGACGGCCAGTATGACGTCTTACATCTTGGCACAGGTATGTTGGAAAGTGGTAAACAAAAGATCTACGTTTTCAGTGAATGGGATCTTTTATACTAGTAAAAAAGTGTGACAACTAGCGGTTGATGTTAGCATTAGACCTAAAATTGCACTGCAAATATGGAAATCTCCTACATCGGCTCCTAGATCCAGTAAATGCTATCAAAGACGACCTCTGTTCCCACGCTGGTCAGTGGTCCTGTTGCCTGGGATTATTCTGACATTCTGAGGAGCCAATGTTTCTTTTCCTGTCTAACATTTGTCCTCCTGGACTGGTGGGTGTATGCATGAAATCATTTAGGGCAAATAGATACTCTGTTCAGGATAAATGTGCTTAACCAATGTGTACAGAGAGCCAACTCGCAATCTTACTGTGTATAGGACTAGAATAGTGTAACAGCTGTCAGCCCTCAAGGTGCTGCATAAATCCACACGCCGAAAGCCAGTGCTCACTCACCATGGTAACTAAGTACGGGTGCATTATGGGATATATTCAAAGATGGTACAATTGATGGTTCAGGTTGAAGTTTGATGTGAATATCTGTCAATCGTTCTATCATTCAGTCATTCTATATCTATCTATCTGTCTGTCTGTCGTTCTATCTATCTATCTATCGTTCTATCTATCTATCATCTATCTATCTATCGTTCTATCGATCTATCGTTCTATCATTCTATCTGTCATTCTATCATTCTATCTATCGTCCTATCATGTATCTATTTAACGTTCTTTCTATAATTATATTGTTCTATCTATCGTTCTATCTATCGTTCTATCTATCATTCTATAGTTCTATCGTTCTATCTATCTGTCTTAATCAAACATGGTAAATCTTCTGTATCTCCAGATGATGGCAGAGTATTAAAGGTGGTCTCTGTACCTAAAGAGAACTGGGAAACTGAAGAAATCATTCTAGAAGAGCTTAATGTCTTCAAGGTAATTTAAAATGAGCTCAGTTTCTTCTCTCACTTCTTGTTTATCGTGCCATCTATTGGACTCATGACCTCTGACCCTGGGCTCTTATTGGTTGTTGTTTTCATGTCAAGCGCTTCCCAAACAAAAATAACTCCTAAAGAAGAAAACCAGATTTCTCATGGCTGTCTACTCAAGTGAACAAACCCAGGAACAGGAGAGGCAGCGTTACACCAAGAATATTGTGTTTAGTGAACAAAAAGATCATCTCATTTACAGTGGCGGCTCATGGGTTTTAAAATAGAGGAGGCACACTAATTGTATTGGTCTGGGGATCCCTGCCGATTATTATTATTATTATTTGCTTAACCACTTTAAAATGGCTTTTTGGTTGCTTTTAGTCAGAACACGTAAAGAAAATGACACATACAGCAAGATAATATAACTTCACTTACCTGGCCTATCACTTGAAGCAAACATCCATCCTTTCTTAAAAGTCTGTTAAAAGAGGGCTGCCTGTTGTGCTATTTAATTAAGCCGACTGCTGTAGCCTATATCGAGCTTAGGCGTGTTCTCCCTTTATTTTTAATTTGTATATATACTGTTTGAATGACAGCTTCGTAAATCTGTTGGCGATCAAGTATTCAATATCGCTACTCATAAGTACTTAGTACATTATCAGCGCAGCGGGATGTTCAAAGTAATATCATGTGATTTACGTCTCTATGATGATTGGTTGGTATCAGAAGGAGGCTAGCCTCCCCTGCGAGGTTTCTTTTCTCAACACTCCTCAGCGCTGAAAGTGAACACTCGATGC